AAGAACCAAACATCTGATGTTCAACTCCCTTGCTCTTTGGATACCTTCTAGGGCTGCGAGAATCTCAGCCCTAAGAGAAACCAAATTCCTTTCCTCATTTTGGTACAAAGCCAACATTTCTTCTTCCATGGCCATCCTCCACCTAATCAAATATGGCTTCCTATAAAAACTTTGGAAGAGAAATGGTTGGCAAGAATGAGATAAAAGTATAAGGGGTTTGACTATGACACCAGAGAGACATCATACTAGAAAAACTTACAGCCAATCAACCGGTATCATTAAAGAGGTGATCAATCAGGTGGTATATATTAAATTCACAGGGGTGCTTTGATTGATCAAATCTTTTCCGATACCATGTCTTTCTGGTATCATAGATTTTCCCAAGCATACGTAGGAGATAATGATCCATGGGATACAAAGTAGCTAATAGGATGGTCAGTGCAAGATCTCTTACCCTTATGATGAGCAATGGGAATGCCAACGTCTAAATTCAAGGCAGAAGGATGGTTTGGACTTTCAAGCATCAAAACAAATGATTGTGGAAATTTCTTGGTGTAAATTTCTGTAATGGGTGGCTTCAAACTTCAAAGGTAGGAAAAGACACACATCCAAATATGTTGTTTCTAACTTTGTTGCTCAGGGATTCCCCTTTGAAACACCAATTTCCCTCACTTTATGCCCTTTCTAACTTCAAGAATCAGCCTGTTTCATCTTTTTGTATATATTCCAACTAAATATTCAGGTTAGGGTGATGGTTCAACCACCCATGTCAGTTGGTTTTTTACCAACTCAATGTTTTTTTACCAAAAATACGGGTTTAGACATCTGGTTCAAATGGTTGAATGGTTTGACCATCCAGGTCAATGCCAGTTTGAAAATAGGTGACTGTGACCTCGAGTTGGGTCATTTTGCCTTCTAGCTTGAGTAAATAGATAGGAGACCTAATCCGCTTTTTTTGGGTTGGGCCTGGTTGGGTTTGCAGGTTGGATCTAGGGGTGCAACTTGGGTGGGCCCAGCTTGAGCCTGAACTGGCCCAACCTGAAATTTTACACCGATTGGGCTTGGATTTTCAATCCTCGGGCTGGGCTCGGGCCCAAGAAGTCGGGCTTTTTATTTTTCGAGCCGGGCTTGGGCCTAGCCCTTAGGTAGCTCGAGCCCAGGCCAACTATATATATTTATACATACATATGAGTATATATGCAAATGTTGCATACATATTTACATATATACATAAATATATGTATATATTTGCATAAATACATTTATATATGTATAATTTTAGAGTGGATTCATTGACCAATCCCAATTAAACCTCTGACCTATGAACTTCTCCCTTTTCCAGTTCTATGCCTGGTCTGGTTCTCTAAACATTGTCTCTATGTCCATGCTCCAAAACTACCCAACTGCAACCATCCATTACCAACTTCGAATCCCCTTCTATTTCGATTTGTTGTAGTCCCAACTGCTTAGCGTATCTTACACCTTGTAGTAATGGCTATGACACAATTTTTGCTCTCAAAGAGTCTCTCCTATTGGGCCCAAGAATAATGCTAAAATTTTGCCTTCTCCATCTTTGAAAACACCCCCTATACCCAAGGGTCCTAGGTTGTGTATAGAACTATCATCAAAGCTCAACTTCACCCTATTTTGTATTGGTGGGGACCAAAGTTCTTGTGTCACATGTTTAAGAGAATTTGTATTTGCCACAACACCCTAGTTCCTATATATATCTTCAACTAAGAAGTCTTTAAACACATCCATTGTTTTCAACCAGTGAATAACCTTTATAGTGAAAAACCAAGGAGATCACTTTTCTTTTGTTTTCTGAGATAGAGTAAATGGAAGGGAACCTATCTCTAAGGCTGTGTTTGGTTTGAAGGAAAAAGTAGGGAAAGGAAAGGAAAGGTAGGGAAACCTTTACAGATCTTGTATGGGTTTCCCTACCTTTCCCTTCCTTTCCCTACCTTTTCCTTCAAACCAAACATAGCCTAAGAGAACTCTCTCTGACCCAAGCATCTTCCTAGAACAACACTTTGTTATCACCTTATCAACACATGCATCATATTTGATAAAAGGAAGCATAGTGGGCAATATACCATGAATAGCTTTCAAGGAGAGCAATGAGAAGCCCTAGGGTCGGGACCTGCATCCCAACCATTGTCTGCCAACAATCACTCTATACCGTAGTCTATCTTGTTCCAATGGCAGCCTCCACAACCATTTCCCCAACAAGGTTGTATTTCTCAATCTGATATTACCTATACTAACCTAGGCCTCCATCATCTCTAGTCTTGGAAACTATCTCCCACTTCACTAGATGATCCTTCTTGGTGTCCCCCAGTTGGTTTGCTACTTTTACTAGTATTTTGGAGGTAGATAGGAAATAAACTGGTAAATTGGCCAACGTAAATTTGATCAGAGTTATCCTACCCCCCAAAAAAATATAGTTTCTTTTCCAATTTGCCAGCCTCTTAGTAAATCTTTCAATCACTAGGTACCAGAAGCTATTTGCATTAGTATTTCCTCCCAATGGTAGTCCCAAATATTGCAATGGCCATTCCCCTACTCCACATCCCAAAACTCTTCCTAGCCTATCCACCTCTCCCCTCCCTAAATTCACTCCTTCCACACAACTCTTGCCCCAGTTTACTTTTAAGGCTGGATATTCTTTTAGAGTGGTGCACTAATCTCTTAAGATTCATGAGCTCTTGAGGTAAGAGAGTCCTCCCCCACCTTTGTATTGAAACCTTTTTCTTAATTAATGAAAGTTTTTTGTTACTGACCAAAAAAAAAGATAGCTTTCATCTTCCCCTTCACAAAACAATATAATATCATCTGCAAACTGAAGATGTGTCATGTGTGACCACTTCCTCCCTCCCATCTCTCCAACCTCTAATCAGATTATCAGCATCCACCCTTGAGATCAGATCACCCAGAACACCAACTACTAGAGTAAGAGTAAGGGTGAGAAAGGATCTCTTTGTCTTAGGCCCCTTTTAGCAGGAAAAGCTACTTCATTCACCAAAATGGGAAAGTAACACAAGAAGATACAACCCTTTACCCATCTACACCACCTTTCTCCAAAGCACCTACAATTGAGAATTTCTAGAAGAAAGTCCCAATCCACCATGTCATAAGCTTTTTCCAAGTCCAATTTACAAACCAACCCCTTTTCCTTTTGCCTCCTATACTTGACACATTCATTGGCAATGAGAATTTGATCCTTGTTTGTCTCCCAAGAACAATCCCTTAACCTAATTTTTCCCAACTCTAGTAGGTAGTGGCTAGAGAATTGACATTCGCAACTGAGATACAGTTTAGATATAATTATTCCCATACTTGCACAATTATGTTCAATCAAAAAAACACTTTCATGGATAAATAAAGTACAAAAATCAGCATCATCATGATAATAATAGCAGCAGAAAACACAAAAAAAATGGTAAAGTAGTTTTTGACAAATACAGTTGGGAATTTGGTAGGGTGATCATTCCTAGCCCAGACCAGCCCACAAATGTTGGACTTGGTCAGTTGGTTTGGTCCTAGGTGTTCTGTCCAGGCCCAGAATTATATATGTATATATAATTAGTATATATTATCATATATATAGTATAACATTTATATTACATAAATATATAGTATAATATAAATATAATATATATTATGTATATCACATTGTAATATATTATTATATAGTTAACATATATATCAAATATTTAAAATTGTAGGCCCATAAGCCCAGCTTGGCCCATGATCACCCCTGAAATTTAGAGATAAAAAAAATCCATGCATAAGTACGCCCTATCTGTGTTGTGATCGTTAACTACAGGTTGTAAAGTTAATGACTTTTGTTTTAGATAAGGCACTGAATACATATATACATATCCGTTTTGGAAACAAAAACACCAAACCATGCCCATTATGTAGATGATCATTTGAAAACTTGACCAGGGAATTCAACACCTTATTCGAACCTAACCAGCATTTTATACCTAATTGATCCAGTTGTAATATATCTGACTAGCAAGTGGCATATACCAATAACTTAAATCTGTTTGAATGTCCCAATACACCAATAGGAAAAAGGAGACATTTTGTTTTCATTTTTCTTTTTCAGTTAATCTTAATCCATCAATCTTTAGATTGGAAATTTCTGAAAACCAAGTCATACCAGAACAAACACAGAGAAGTATCCATATGAACTTATCTGCACAATAGAAACAATCCAAGGAAGCACCATGTACACCATATTCAAACAAAGGTGTCACATTTACCAATTGTGAGGTCATGAACAGGAGGGGTGAAAAAACTACTGCAAAAACCTATATCTAGATGTTGCCAACTAACACATATAATTGTAGTAGATATTTTATAAAGTAGTTAAATTTATGATTCAACTTATACTACCAATTACCAACAGAGCTGCATAACTCTATGGCAAAGCCCATCAATATATCATACCATCTCATACATGTGAAAACAAAGTTAAAGTATTTCAAGGTTCAATTGCTTTAAAGGGAAGAGCTAAATGTTCTTCCTTAGCAGTATATATCCTTGCTAATAAAAATAACTTGACATTGGAATAAAAAGCACGCAATATAATAACAGAAAAGGGAAATGAAAATCAGCACGGTAAGGGCATAAATAAATGAAATATGGAAGAGAGCACATAAATCATGATGAAGATAACCCAAGTCATTTGGAGGTAGAAAACAAAAGGCATAAAATCATCTTTTGAATGTTCATAATGATTGTTTAACCAAAGAATTTGGTACCTCAGGCTCCACAGCAACTGCTAAACCAAGCAATTTAATATAGTACATCCATATCAAGGTATTACCTTGTTAGTAACAAACTAATCCTGATTTTCTAGGCATCTCATCTAAACAACCAGAATCTTTTCTTGTGTTACCAAATGATGAACTCTAGTAATCTACTATTTCAATGAATTGTAAACCATGGGATTTGATAAATAAAATAAAAATATATGCAACTCAAACCTGGAAATGAGAGCTATTGAGGCAGCGTCCAATCTGTCTAAAAAGAGGAACCATGCAACGCTGGAACTCTGCAAGTTGTGTAAACTCCAACACCTCTTCTAGTTCTCCAAGAAAGAGGACCTCCTTTTGGCAGTTGGTGACCGGCCAGTACTTCAGCAGACCCCTTATAACGGTATCTGCTAGTTTGTAATCCTTTTCAACAAACTGTGTAATGCAGTATGACAGCTGCTGGTGATACAAGGAAACTTGTTTAGGCTTGTGGAGTGGGATAAGGGCCCGAACAAGGAACAGCTTATGTTCCTCCTTCATTGGCAGGGCAAATCCATTTATTATGCTTCCAAGAATCTCCAATAGCTCGCCAATTCCACTATGTCTCTCTGTCTCGAAAATAAAGCGGTAAAAGATATTGTTTATTGCTTTCCTTATAAATGGGCGGTGCACCATGAACTTCCCATAAATTCGATGAAGAATGGTTTTCAAGTACTCCCGCTCACGGGGATCCTCAGAATCAAACAGATCCAAGAGTTTCAAAACAAAGGAATGATCTATGTATCGCTTTGCAATCTTAGTATCAGTTTCGGACGACACAACATACCTAAGAAGCAGCTCGTACACAATCTGCAAGTGAGGCCACGAAGGCTCGAGATAAGGTTCCTCTTCTTCTGGATCTTGATTTTCAGCTCCGGTGTTCTCATATGCAGCTGGAGGTAGGCAACGAAAAATATTGACGGAAACCATCCTAATCAATTCTTCCTGAACCGCCTCAGTAATCTTGCCAGAACCTGATTGCATGAATTCTACAAGCTCAATTAGTGTCTGACGCTTCATCTCCTTCTCCCGAACTGATTTTAAAGTATCAGAGAAATCAAAGAGGATGCAACAAATCTTCAGCTTGCGTATAAACAAATTCTGGCGTTCAGATACGGGAACATCTTTGAAGACCGGAAGTATCTCCATGACTGCGGCGTGGAGATTGCTCCGCTCTGGCCCGGCACCAGTATTTGCAGCACCTCCTGCCGGTTGCTGAGAATTGGCAACAGAAGACGCAACGGTAGTTCGAGAAGCATGATTTACGGTAATGTTCGATCCAGACTTCCGACCAAATACCTCATTGGTATCAGACTTGGGGACCTTTCGATGGCCACGCTTTATGATTTTGTTAAACATTTCTCCTCTCTATTATTACAAACCCTAATCCTAGATCTTCTTCTGATAAATAACGTCCAATTGGTTCAACAAGAAAACAAAACCTTAGATGATCGAAATTGGAACGAAGATCGCTAATAATTGAAAAGCATTGGCAAGAAAACAACCCTACGGTCTGCAAAATATGTTGTTTTCATTCTCCTTCTAAGGTCTGAACAAGATTTTATAGAAATCAAAAACACGCGCACTTAAGAACATAAACTGGGGGAAGAAAGCAAGAGGTACCGTATTTAAATCAAAACGACGAGAAATCCGACCACCGAGAAACGGAAACACCGACACCATCTGTAGCAGATTGCCGGAAATGCAACCCAACCGAACAATCGAGGAGGGAATCCGACACTCAATTCATGAATTCGTAACGAACGACCGATCGATCGATCAATCGAGCAGAGTGACCGAGCGAGAGAACCAACGAGAGAAAGGAGGAAGACAAAGCAGAGAGAAGACCGCGGAGTGTTAAAAATGAGAAAATTCTAATTTCTAAACAAAGTAAGAAAAAAAAACCCAAAATCCAAAATAGCTTTCAATTATGAAGGTATATCATAATCATAATTCATATCATCAGATCAGATAATATTTTCCAGTTTCTTAATTCTTATTTTGTATTTTTTTGGGTGAAAATTGAAAAATAAAATAAATATAGCCCCTGTGTTCGCGGGTTACGAGTTCCTTGGAACATCAGAAAAACAGAGAAGTCTGTACATCTCTGTATTTATATTGACATTATTTATTTTTAATGACGAATTGGCCCTCGAATTTATCCATGAACACAGAGAGGATGAGGGCCCCACTTCATAATCAACAATGGATATGGGTAATGTGGTAATTTGGTCATAGTAGTGAAGACGAAGACATGGTCAAGAGAGACTGAAATTTTGAAGCACTCAACCACCCACCACGTCATGACTCATGGATGGAATCATGATTGGAGTTGAGAAAATTTTGATTAATTTGGCGGTAAGCTTGGTCAAGGTTTTTTTCTTGATTTTTAACCCAAATGGCCAAATCCTCTGTTTAGTTTACAGTCCGGCCCCTGAAATGAAAAAATAAAACAAAGTGGGGTACTCTGTGGGGTCCATTTGGAAGAAAAAAAAATGATGGATATTGTTTTGACATTTTGTGAGAGGAAGATAAAGACTTGGAATTTACTGTTTCGTCTCCTTCAATATGGCTAGCTGGTGTCTTGAACAAAGTCATGGTAATGGTGGAAAATGACACAAGCATCACAAAAAGAAGTAAAATGGAAATTTGGTCCAAAGTCCAAACATTCTTCAATGGAAATGAACCGGGGTAATGGGTCTGGCCCAAGGCTGCAACTTGGGCTGGGTTGGCCCGAACCCAACCCTAAAAAATTGGGTTGGGTTGATATTCGGGTTAGGGTTAGAGTTGAAATTCATGAACTCAACTTTACTTCTGGTTGGGTTAGGGTTGACCCCTTAGTCAATCCGAACCTGACTCTATAGTACATGTCATATATTAATATATATTTTATGCAATATATAACATACATTGATTTGTTTAGATGCAAATATTTGCACAACCCCCAACCACGTAGTATCATGTATTTCTTTTAAGATAATCACTTCACTTAATCCTAATCAGAAAGACTAAAACCTTAATAACATTATTTTATGTTTTTTTGAAAATTTTATTCTTTATCTCCTCTATGTTGTTTGACGCCCAAGAAAGATTTATCGTAAGCCATAGATCATAAATCATAATAAAGTATAGTCATTTCTAACACTTGTTTTTCTGAACTTTGTACTAAAAGAACAAAAAAAAAAACATCAACAAACAAATACTAATGAAACATAGTATTAATATATGTAGTGAAAGTTGAGTTAAGATCTAAAATCGATAAATTCTATGAGGTTTTAAGGGATAGAAAGAAGGTTGGGTTGGGACCAACCCGAGCCCAACCCAACCCGAAATTGACTTCAGGTTGGGTTGGGTTGGGTTAGGGTTGAAGGAATTTAGTTAGGATTAGGGTTAGGGTTAGGTTGGTCGGGTTGGGTTAGGGTTAGGATTGGGGTTTAGAATTTAGGGTTGGCCTCAACCCAACCTAACCTGGCCTGACTTGTAGCCCTAGTCTAACCATATTCATCCGGGTCAATTGAGTCATTTTCCATTTCAAGGTCTCTTGAAGAAGAATCCATTATCACCTTTTCATTATTTGATTAAGAAATACGAAAATAGATTAAAAAACAATAAATGGATTTTTTTCTCCTTTTTTCCCTATTTTGTTCAATATTCACCATTGATTTTGGTAAATTGCTCATTTGGTTCAAGGGAATAAGAGTCTAGGATTGGAATCGAAACAGCTCATTCCAATTCCAATTCTTTGGTTGGGTACAATTGGAATCCCACTCAATACAATGTGGAGTATCTATCCAAGTATGCACATTCCTTCTAATTGCACCAATTTTGGCTAGAGGACAGCAACAAACCGAACAGTGCTCGAGGAAACCCATACCAGTCCTTTGTATTGACTTTTTCTATTTAATGGTCGACCCACTCACCCATGACCTAGAGACAAAAATTATTCAACTTTATATATATATATGTATATAAGAGATTGAGAGAGAGACTAGTGTAAGAGCACATGTTAAGCACCTGTGTAAATAAGTATTAATTATATATGAAATATGATAGTTAGATTTAACTTTGAACTTTCATACAACTACAACTTTCAAAAAAAAAAGAACTTTCATACAACTAAGTGCAATGTTATAGCCTCGGGAAGTTTTTAATAAATTGTGAGCACCATTATAATCCGTTGGCATGTGATGTCATGTGAGTTATATAGTTGTTCTTAATTTCAAAACTACCCTTTTACAGTCAATTTTGTCTTTTCATTGTTCTTTAAATTTTCATTACAAAACCCAACTGGTGCTTATCTTTGAAGACCCCGTAAGAATTATGACGAATGGGATGGCCTTCTCTGTTGTAAGCATGCATCTAAGCCACCACGCCTTCTAGCTCCTTAAATCCCAAATCCTCATCACAAATGTTCTCTCCACCGAAGTCTTTTCTCTAGGCTAAGCATTTCTCCAACATGGTGAGGGCATCAGAAATCCTGAAATCCCTGTCTTGGAGAAACTTTAACAGAATTACATTAGCCTTCTCGTCTCCACCCAAAAGGGGAATATTCCACATGGATTCAGCCCTTGAGAGGTCAACAACTTCTCTTTGAGTTTCTGCAGAGCCTTCCTTCACTTTGAGATAAGAGACTAAGAGATAAAGTAAGGCCCTATTTGGCATCACTCCAAAAAATCGTTTCTAGCGATTTTTGCGATTTTGAAAATGAGAATCGCGTTAGGGATGAAATCCCTGGCCCCCGTTTCTCTTTCGAAACGGGATGAAAAACTCCCTCGGCCAGCCCCATTCATTGTTGTAAAAAAATCTCTCTGGATTCAGAGAATGAGAATTCTCGGTTGAAGTCATTCTCGCATCGTCATTGTTTAAAAAACGAACACATGTGACAAGAGTCACACGTGAAAATAAGGGTACTACGGTAGTTATAAACATCTTGACCTAAATCCTCATTCTCGTTCTCATTTTGTCTCGTATCTTCTTACAAGTTGCAACGGCTCTCTACCACTCCTCTCCAGTGCCGTCGACATGGTAAATATTTCAAACCAGGTTTGTTTTCTCCACATTTGAAAATTGAAACCAAGTTTCAATTGTTTTTTTTTCTTTTGCTTTTCAGTCTGGGAATCGTTTCAATCGTTCTTTCTCCACCAATCCTCTCTAGCACTGTCGTCACTCTCCCAACTCACTGTATGGAACTCTTGATTCCAATAAATTTTATTGTTGCAAGTTGAAGGTGCATGGGCTGTTACAGATGTCATTTTTCTCTCGATTTCGTTCTACTCCCTATTTTCTCCTTGTTTCGTTCCCTCTTGATCCCAATAAAGTGACTGTTGCTCATGAAGAGACCTTAGAATCATCATCAGAACCATGATACCAAATCCTCTAGAATGATACCCAACAATTAATCCCTGTTTCAAAATTTCTAGCATGTTTTAGGGTAGAAAAAAGATAAACTTGATAGAGTTTTCAATTAATTCACCTGCAACAATATCAAAAACCTTCAAATAATACATACTCAAAATCAAGAATAACTTCCAAATACAAAACCTCAAAAGCAAAGCAAAAAAAAAAATCGGGACAGATTTATTGGGAAATAAATCTAGTGAGATATGCCACCCTATTGTCAACCCAACTAAGTTGGCATTCACTTTTGTAGACTTTGTACAAGTTGTCCATATGCTTTCATAGGCTATGCCAAGTTTTCCACTCACCATGTTCTTAATCGCATTATATAAGATAAAGGGTATCTTTGGCACAACAATCTTGTCCACCACCATCTCAATGCTGTATCCAAATAATGGGCAAACCTTACTGTGGGTGCTAGAGTTTCCCAATTAAATTCGTAGGGAGGGTTTTGACAAACAGCTGCAATGACTATTTTATCTGATCCAGAGTTGAAGAAAGAAGGTAATTCACCTGTTACTCACAATGACTTTTCAGACATTTGGATATATTCTGTTAAAACAAATGCAATTCATCTCACAGTGGAGGTTTTGGGATTAGGTCAACATAGGGGAGGTCATAGTAATTCTCAGAAAAGTGAGGAGACATCCTAAGTGTTTATCCAAAGAAATAAAGAACTCTCTTAAGTGTTAGCACTCAACTTTTCCTGGTTTGGTTCTTACTGTTCCAAATAAATTCCAAATCTTTTTTTTTATATGTATTTGATAATGTTTTAAACGAATTAGAGTGCAATGTAATTTTATTTCAACTTATATTTATTAGAATAGAAATGGTTTTATCTATCAATAGGTTAAAGAATTGATTTCAAGAAATTTGTTGTTGCCAAACGTAATTCTATTTTTGAGAAATAGGAATCAAATGACTGTGCCAAATAAAACTGGTGATTCTCAGGATGAAAATTCTCATAATCCATTCTTTTCTGAAAGGATTCTAAGAATGAGAATCCTCAGAATTGATGCTAAACGGGCCTAAGTGTCTTCTTTGAAGGAAGTAAAGCAAAGTGAAGTGTCCTCCATTAACGAACTAACAAAGCCTTTTTTTTTTTCAATGAGGAGAAGCTTGCGAATTCTCTTGTGGGGTTTGTGGGACTAAGAGAGGTGATGAAGCTTCCATTTACAGTTTTGTGATAAACCAGATAGGAAATCTGTAGGAGCAAATGTCTCTCTTTTATTTCTCCATAGCTGAGAAGCTCTGGTTTTGGTTCTCTGAGGTCTAAATTACAGAGGTTTCTTGAGGTGCACTAAGAAGATAAACAAAATAGGGGTCAGAGAATGGGAGTGGGGTGGAGGTGAGAAGCCTCCAAAGATGGTGTGTTGGCCAATACAGGTTGAGTGGAGGGGAGAAACCTTCAAAGATGGCGTGGGAGTGAATTGATCCAAAATAAGTTGGGTTAAGGCTACATAATTTGGAGAAGCTTTTCAAAGATGGCATTACATTTTGAAAAATCAAGGGTAAAATTGTCTTTTCAAATTTTCCGTTATTCGTTCCTAACGGTTGTCCATTGTAAAAAGTTATAAGGATAGTTTAAGTGATTATGCAAACATAAGATTTTGTCTATTTGCTAAACTTTAGGGGTAGTTTAAGTATTTAA